GGCACAAAATGGAAGCAACTGGGGTTAGGAAGGATTTTTCAACACTGTATTTCAATGTTTATTCTTGGATTGCCCTCACTGCCCGCGGTGTAATTACCACAGAGAGGTTGGGAGGTGAACAGATACAGCCACAAATCATGTTACATTATTTAAGAAAGGCATCAATTTCCTCTAACCCTCACCTCAGAAACTGGACAACTCTTTAACATAAATCATAGCACTGAAACAATATTTAAAACCAAATGTTCTCTCACAGGAGGTCAATAGGAACGAGCTAAACAAATTACAGTTTCCTTTTGAAGGACCTCTTGCCATATAAAACTATAAAATCTTTAGTGATAAAGTTTTACTGTGTAATGAGAAAATTCTGAGAAAACCAAGAGAAAAAAGCCAAAGCAGCATATAAAATTCTGGGCTATCTGCCAGATTCATTATCTGTTATTTCCTTTTTTTTTTTTTTTTTCAAATTAGCAGTGATTTATCAAACAATACAAAAGACAAAAGAGAAAAATAATATTTCAAAGATATTTTTTCTCCAGTTTACATTTCCTTCTTTTCATTACCATATCCATCATCATTATTTAGGCACTTTCCCATTAAACAGAGATTTAAAAAAAACAAAAATACAAAAGACTGTCACTGTGATAACATCCAGTCTTGACCAAGCATTCCACAGCTGGGTCCCTGAGGGAGTCAGGTGGCATGAATCCGCCCCCTCCCCTGCAACACCCCAGTGACCACAAGTCAAAATGATCTGAGGTCTTTAGGAGTTGTGAGCCTTTCAACCTCTAAAGCTAAAGTTGTAAAGAGGGCCCTGCAGTCCCTGAGTCAGGAACACTCCTGAGAGAACACTGCTTTCTTATAAACATGTTGCCAATGCATCTCTAAAAAGTTCAAAGAGCGTACAAAATTAATTTCATTTAGAAAAAAAGAAGCATCCTGACTCCAGCTGTCTCACTAGGATCTGATAATGTCCCCATAATGATTTTGTTCTAGTATATGTTCAGATGTTTGTCCTCCATGATAATATGAAAGAGTAGAAACCAGGCTATAGAACTAAGACTCCAAATAAAACTGAAAACATCTTCACCTTTCTGTACTTCTTTTAGCCATTAAAACTCCCTGCTACCTAATGACTTGTTGTAACTAGGAAGTCTTGTAGATTGCTTGGTTCTTTTTAGAACCTATGGGCGAAAGAAGCCAACATTTTAAGAATTCAAGGAATATACTCTACAAATATACTCCTTTTATTTCTACTGCTCTCTAGATAGAACCAATGCCTCTGTCTCGTTGAATTCAGCATCCTTCAGACTTCTAATTCCAAATACCAATTTCCATGTTGAACTGTGTTAAAACATTTTAAAAATTTTTTCTTCTATGGATGAGCTTTCCACTTCCTTAATCTCCTCCAAGACATCTGCTCTCTGATGAAACCCAGGAGTCTCCAACTCTCAGTAGGACATCCACTATGTAGTCTTAAAAGAGCCATATGCATGAACTACTTTTTCAAGATGCACTCCAAATTTGGATAAAACTTTCTTGGAGTTATTTGATATAATGTTCCATAAAAATTATCCAAAAGATGACATATTTTAAAGGTCCATACATCATTTACTGAAATATGTCCAAGTATAAAATTCATATAAGAAAACAAAACAAAACAAAACAAGCATTTTTTTAAGATTTGGGAAGGACACTGAGGGTTATCCCAATAAAATAACCAGTCTTTGCTGCCATCTAGAGGTAAAAACTATGTAGTGAAATCAGAGTTATCAAAAACAAAAAATTAACTTGCAGCATCAATGGTATGGAAACAATAGGAAACCAATAACTTTTGGGCAGCTGGCCCTATCAATGTCCACTATCCCAAGCCACACTGTCTTCCCCAACATATATCAGTATAGCTTTAAAAAGCAAGCCCCACCAATACTGTGTTCCTTACAACTGGTTAATCAAACAGATTTCAGCTCTAAGTAACCTGTGGTGCTCATAAAAATTCACATGCCTATACCCCAGTCCTAGACAATGTGAGTCAGTAGGTTCTGAGATGTGATCTGGGTACCTGCAGTGTTTTAAAAGCCACATGGGTGGTTCTGATAAGCAGCTAGGAAACCATTGGGCCACGAAGCCCTGACCTTTCACAGTGTTAAACCTCCCCCATCCAGGTAGGCCAGAGTTCTACCTGAAAGACTTAAAGCTTACATCTAAAGGAGGTTCAGCTATGGCAGTGTTTCTCAAAGTGTGGCAGGCTGATCTCTTTCATCAGATGAATCACCCTGAGAGATTACCACCCAGCCCGGCATGGCTCAGAGGTTGAGCATCAACCTAGGATCTAGGAGATATCGGTTTGATTCCTGGTCAGGGCACATGCCAGGGTTGTGGGCTTGATCCCCAGTTGGGGTGTGTGCAGGAGGCAGCTGATCAATGATGACTCTCTCATCATTGATGAGACAGACAACTCTCCCTCTCCCTTCCTCACTCTGAAATCAATATATATATATTTTTTTAATGGGGATTACCAGTCGCATCCATAGACAAATAATTATAATTCCTAGGAGGAAGACCCAGGAATCTTACAATTAAAAAAAAATCCCAACGTATATTATATACTAAATAGGAAGAACCAATCTTAATCAACAAAATTAAAGGACATCACAGAAATCTATCTTGGAAAGACTATAATCAATGCTATGGTCACAAGATCAGCTGACTTGAATTAGCCCACCACTAATTTTTTTTTTTTTTTAATATATCTTTATTGATTTCAGAGAGAGGAAAGGAGAGGGAGAGATAGAAACATCAATGATGAGAGGGTCATTGATCGATCCCGCAACCCCAGGCATGTGCCCTGGCCAGGAATCGAACCCCGATCCCCTGGATCCTAGGTCGATGCTCAACCNNTCGGCCGGGCCACCACTAATTTCAACTGCAGCTGCTACTGCTCATGGTTTGAATATGGTTGACGTTCACAGAAATGTTCTGATCTCTGAAGTGTTTCCTTCCTTTTTTATCCCTTAATATAACTTACTGTTGTTTTTTCTAATTGTATACTTATTATAGAAAATACAAAAAATGTAGAGAAATAAAAATCTGTAACTCTACTAACCAGAGTTAACGACTGATGCCATTGGTATATGTTCTCCCGTATTTTCTCTTCACACAAACATAGTGGAAACATGTATATAGTTTTTAATCTTGCTTTCAACATTTCTGAATAAACACTTTGTATATCTTCAAAAGCACCATTTATTTGAAGACAGCATAATGTTTTCATATGATTATGGTGTAATTCATTTACTCCATCATGATTGTTGGAGTCTTAAACTGTGTCCATTTTCCATTGTTTTAATGTTAAAAACAAGCCTTGTGAGCATCTCTGATTATTTCCTAGAAAAAAAACCTCCTAGCAACAGGGTGAGTATGAGCTTTAGGGATCTTGATACACACAACTAACCTACTCTCCTGATCATCAAGAGGCTGCCCCATCTCACCAAACCATTATTGGTCATTGAGTTTGATTATTAAACAACAAAAAAGGCTGTGCCTATTTGAGAGGAAAAAAAATTGAATGAGTATTTCCACACTGAAGATGAGACCATGAGGTAAGGACGAAAGGTAGGAATACCATTTATATAAGGAGAAGACTAAATCATGGTATCAACATCTCATTTGCTATGTTGACTAAATGTACCAACAGAAAACATACAGTTTATCCTTTATTGGAAGATTCATATTTTTAACCAAGTCTGTGTAATGTTTATTTAGAAATCCAATTATGGTTGCTATAAAAGTTAGGTGGCATTTTAAATAGTGAATGTTTATGTAAAGAGATAAAGGGACTTCACTGTACTTTATCAGTACAATAACATGTGAAAACAAAAAACAATATAAGAAGGGCTCCCATAAAAACAGTATTAGAAATCTATGATGAAAACTATAATGCATTTTTAAATGATTTATATTTTTGAGCTCATAGCAAGGAAAGAATGATGCAATCAAAAAGGGGAAAATAGTAGTACAATCAACTGTGGCTCACAATGGAAGAACTACAGTTAGCTTTTCCTACCTCTTTAACAATAAGTGTTCTTATCCAAGAGTATCTTTCCTTAATAAATTAAATAAATATATTTCTAAGTGAACATGAACTCAATCAGGTCTTCACATTCCATAACCCACTCTCCTAGTCTAGATCATTTAACTCTGAGTCCTCTCTCACCCCTCATACACTACTAGTGAACAAATACTAATGCAATTCTATCTCTACAATGTGTCTTCCCCCCACCCATGTCCTTATTAACCCCACTGGCACCCCTCCGCCCCCACTTACATACTGTCTACATAACCAGTATGATTTTTCCTATCTGGCCCCATCTACATTCCCATTCCACCTCTCAAATACAACCTAATGTGAAAGTCACTTCATTTCTCAACTGTGTCTGGTTTCCTACCTCAGGGACATTGCCAAGAGTATTCCTTCATCCTACTGTCAAAAGTATCTCCTTACTCTGGAATGCTCTCCAGATTGTTAAAAATCCTGCTGTTAAAAATCCAAGTCTTCAGAGGCCCAAGTAAAGTCATGCTACTTTCTTCATAAAGCTCTCTTAGACCCCTCAGTTAAATTAACCTTTCTCTGCAATCTCATGGCCCTTTGAGAAGAATTTGGAACACTACTCCTCTTTATCTCCACCACAGTACCATGATTGCCAAAAAACAAGAAAAATAACCTATTTACCTCAGTATTTAGTACTGGATAGACTGTTGAGGGCCTTACACGTAGTGTATGCTGGCAGAATTGCTTTACTAAAGTGTTGTGCATATGCTGGTAGAATTGCTTTACTAAAGTGTTGTGTGTTTTTTCCAACCTGGCAATCTTTGGTCTGTCCCCAGAACCCAGTGCTTTCAAAAAGCCAAATCCTCCAAGCTGACTCCATGTCCTGAAAATGTCTGCTTCTCCACCAACTGTACCATTAATTACCTTTTGTTCTTCTGTTTAATTCAAGATCAAGGAGGTATGCAAGCAGAGAATCCCAACACGGATCCCTAAACCAAAATCTACAGGCATCACTAAGCTTTCCCCTAAAGCTTCCCTAGGGCCAATGGATAAGCCCATTCACCACACTGGCTATGGGAAGCTACACATCATAAGGACTGTCACCTCCAACACTTTCCTCCACATGGGAGGGAAAAGGTAAGTCATGCCAATGCACTGCCTGAATATATTAACCTACAGATATACGTGAAAAGCTGAAATTACCACTTTGGAAGGCCAAAGAGGACAAGCCATCTCTCCAGGAAAGAAGAAGCGGCAAACTGACAGGTGGTTTATTCGTAGGTTGCTGGACCTGGGGAATGTCATACTGAAAGAGCAGCACATCTACAGTTATTTTCACCTATATGTGTAAATGCATACACACACAATCCCAGGTCCAGGGATACCCCTGCAGATCTTCACCCTACTTGTAATCCAACCCAAATTTGGGACTATCATTACCCTGGAATAGGACTGAATTCACTAGAACAGTTCAAAGGTATTCTGGTGAATACAGAAGTAATCCTTCATTCCCCAGAATTTTATTGAATCATATTTTGCTAAGAAGATGTGCTGATGAGAATTCCTAATCTGCTTCAAGAAAGTAATACTATTTCCATCAAAATGACAGAGCAATTAAAGTCATATTTAAGGTCTAAAACTATGGCCTCTTTATGAGCAGGAGGAAAAAAAGTGGTAATTCTTAGCTTTGAGGAGGAAAAGAACAAAAAGAAATGAGTAACAGCTGGACACGGGTACCCTTTGTGTGGCCTACCTGATAATTCCAGTACAATGTGTGCACACTTTACTGCTGGTACTTAACCTGCTGTCCCATGTTTCTAGTAGGTTTCCTCCTGTACATACCAGGCCATGGTATCATGTTGTAAGGCAATCATAGGCTTGCAAGGCAAACCATTTTAGATTGGTATTGCTGCGAGAGTCAAAGTTCACTAATATTGAGATATTTTAGGGAGATATGAATCATTGTCCTGGGTGTTAAAAACACATACACAATTTATTATTTCATAGGATATTCTTTAATCAACATCTTTTTCCTGAATCAATGCTATAGAAAAATCAGTTGATTCAACAAAAACCTGGCATCAGGAGACTCAAACTCCAACCCTAGTTTTTCACTCATTCAACACTGAGCTTGGCATTCATTAGTTAAGGCCTTGAGTTTCTCATACGTAAAACAGGAGAGCGGAACAATTCTTCATGTCTCTTCTAGTTCTGATAATCCATGAGTATATCTAACTACAAAATATTGAATTCAACTAGTCATCCACAAGGCAGGACTCAGTCCCCTGGTTGGAAGCTAAGGTAATTCTTTTTATTACACTGAAAACTGTCTCACTGAATCAAGAAAAAGATGTGTCTATAATTCAGTGTGGACAGAGTAACACAATGATGTTTTAAGACAAGGCAGTTTTGACATGAGAGACAGTTATATTTCATAAAGTTTCAGTCAGAAAAAAAATATAAAGAGCATGACCCAATGTTCTCTGTGATCCTGCACGGAGAAGGGAGGCATGATCCGGGAAGAAATCCTCATGGCTAAGGAACACTGCTTCAGCCAGCTGTTCCGAGATGGAGCCAATGGTGCAGGAGCAAAGAAAATGCCATTCTCCACACTCATCTACCCAGTCAAGTCCACTTCAATACATTGATGCCACCAGGCCCACTCCTATTTCAAGGAGGAGAAGGACTGGGAGAAGGACTTGAGCTATGCAAGCCAGAGAGATGGATGATGCGCAGCAGCCCCAGGAGGCAAGTGCAGAGGGAGAAGGTGGGGAGCCAGGTGACTGAAGAGTCTGACGTGGAAAAGTCTAAGGTAAAGGAAAGCAGCAAGAATAGTGGAAAGAAGTGGACTACAAATGAAGGTGATGAAGCTGTGACCATAAAAAAGAGAAAATTCAGAGGGAAGTGCAGGGCAGTAACAGGTGGATAGTGCAACGGGAGAACACTCTGTAGGGAAGGAACTTAGTTAGCACTGTGTCTAACATAATCCTGTAAGGTTAAGTGAACAGAGGAAGAGTGAATGAAGGAGATAAGGGCTATTCAATCAAGACATAAGTTAGAAAATGTTCTAAGAGAAGGCAACGGTATATGATAGGGTCAGGAAAAGCAGTTATTCTGGGTAACATTCCATACTGATAATTATACTGATGGAAAGAAAAAACACTGGACCTCTTACAGTGGAAACCAAACAGACTGAAAAGAAGCATAAAACAGAAAAAACAAGGACCAACAACAGTCCCAGAAAATCAAAATACCCTGGAAACATTTACCTTGAAGAGGAACGCAAAATATGTTTTTTGTTGGAGATTCCAAAATTGTTTTCGTTTATGTCAGGAGATTCCCTAAAATACACTTTCATGGCAAATTGGCCTAAGTTCAAGAGCAAGAAACAAAAAAGGTAGGAAAATAGTGACATTTCTATGGCAAGCAGCAGAAATCCACCCTTAAACAGCAATACAGTTCTAATCCCATTAAAAGAAAACTCTTTAAACTAACAAAGTCTATTTTAACAGGATTACCAACCAAAACCATACTTACTTTAAGCAATGTATAATACAATGAAAAATGCATAAACATCTAAGAACTGGGAATACTATTTGGAGTTCAATAAAATGGTGTTGGACCTATAGCCCAACTGAAATAAAAAGAATCCTGCCTCCTGAGCATAGTCCCGTTTTCTGCCGAAATGTAGCTCCTTTGAAGACCAATGAAAATAAAAGAAGCTGTCGTAATAATTCTAGAGTGACTTTAACTTTTAAAAAGGAAGAAGATGAAAATCCAAGTGAATGAAAACAAATCCAATATGTAACAAAAATGTTAATAACTTGATTACTTTTATGCTGGAGACTTTCCTCAGCCCTTCATTTATTTAACTTCAGTGATTTCTGAACTGATCTTGTAACTGTTTGAAATAAAGTACAGGCACACAGATGTGTTTTCTACAAATTGAGAGCAAGATCCTCCAACAGCAAAAAGATTATGACTCATATTTTTGCAATACTTGCTTTTTTTGCGGTGGCCTGGAATTGAACCTGCAATATCTCCGAGGTGTGCCTGAACGTGATTTTAGCAGGAATGTGACTGATCTAATATATGACTGATAATTATGGACTGAGTAATGGAATAATTAATGTAAAACAACTCTTTCTGGGGTATGTTTAAATTTCTCCTTCTTCTGGGGACATGAGACATACAACTTGGGGTCCGACTCTGAGTCTGGGACACAAATTCGGCCCACTGTCTGGTCCTTAAAAAGAAGAAAATTTTGTGAGATGTGAAAATTACATGAAATTCTAATTTTGCTGTTCATAGATAAAGTTCTACTGGAACATAGCCACAATTGTTTGTTAACATATTTATTGTCTGTGATTGCATTTTTGCTATAATGGCAGAGTCAAGTAGTTGCAGCAGTAACCATCTGGCCAGCAAAGCCTAAAATACATACTGTCTGGCTTTTACGAAAAAGGTTTGCTGACCTCTGCTCTAGTGTGAACTAGATTAACAAGGAACTCAGGGAAAAGAGCTTACAAAAAACTTAATTGATTAGTAAATACTAATAATTCAATTAAGAATTCTATGAAAGCTGGTGAAAATGGGGAAACTATATTTCAGGCTATTTGTGATATATTTAGTAAAATGTTTAATTCCATGAATGCACTAAACTGTTCAACTAAAGAACATCAGATAAAACAGGTCAAAGAATCTGTGCCACAAAATAATGTGTTATGAATCTGAAGAAGGAAATGGAAGTATTTCTAGGCCTTCCAAATGCCTGGTGTTTTTCAAGAGATTCGTGGACACTTAGCAAAATTACAGCAGTTCTACTACTTTAATGTGATTTGGAGAAAGATGTGTATATTGTACCTTTAAGTGTTCATAATTGTTGTCAAGAACTTGTTTAATCATTTGCAAGAATCATGGAAACTGTATATGTTATCTAACTCAAGGGGGTTTGCCACTTGGGGTGCTCTTTATTCAAAAATGAGATATGGTTGTCCCAAGGTAGTTTTATTTACTTCCAGCAAGTCAAGAAAACAGGGTATTCATATCCAAAGCTCTGTCTCCTTGAAGGGAGGCTTAGCCATTGCTTATATACACTATTTCATCAATTTTACATATTGATTTCTTCTTTGCAGTTGGCTATACTTATCAGGTTGGGTGCCTGTCCAGCTCATCCTATTTACAGCCAGTCTGCAAAATACTGTGCTACATTTTAACATTTAGCAAGAATAGCACTTAGTAAGAATGGCCAAGACTTTGAGACCCTTGTCTTATTTAATATGTAAAGTAAAACTAGCCCATGAAAGTGATCTGTGGGTTCACATGTTATAGTCTTCAAGTTCAGAACAATGACTAATAATATAGAGCTCCCTCTCTCCATTCTCCTTCATCTCGCTTTTAAAATTTTATCCTGACCGTTTTTCCCCTGAATATGTGTCTTAAAATAATATCATCTGAATTTTAATTGAACCACATCAATGTATAAGTCCCATAATGTAAGCATATTGTTTTTCCCCTTCTATTTCCAAGTGTCTAAAATAGGGCCAAGCGTGAAACTTCAATAAATTATTCTGAAAACAACACGCCCTGAAGTTGATCCTCTGTTGCATGTTATCAAAATCTACTGTAAATATTCCAAGTCTGAGTTTTAAATGTAGAGTCACTGCTTTACAACATCTACTATGCATGGCTGCTGATAGGTAAAACTGATACTGTAAAGGCCTTTCATGTGAAAAGGGGGGAAAAAAAACAAAGCCTGAGTTACGCAGGTTTAAAGGAAAGATCCAAGGTGTTTGCCTACTTTATTATTTCAAAAAGGAATTCAGCATAGCTAAAGCAAAGTGATTTGAAGAAGATACTATAAAACATTACCAAAAAAATTTATAATGCCCATTTCAGCAACCGCAAACAAAATGAACAATCACATTGATTCTAGGTGACAAAAGCTGTCACCTGTGGGAATTACTGGCTCATTTACAAAGCAAAAAAGTCTGTTTCCCCCTTCAAAACATAATTTATAAAACTATATTCAAATATGGTTAGAATAAAATGTTAGTAGACACAGTTGTACAACAAGGATTTCTAATTGTTTTTTTCTTCCTCACCCAAGGACATGCTTACTGATTTCAGAGAGAGAAGAAGGGACGGAGAGAACATCAACATGAGAGAGAAATATCCATCGGCTGCCTCCAACACACCCCCCGACCAGGCCAGGGACTGAAACTGCATCCCTCCGGTGTATGGGAAAACGCTCCAACCAAATGAGTCACACAGGCCAGGACTCTAATATATTTTTTTAACAATGTTTTTATTTATTTCAGAGATAGGAAGGGAGAGAGAGAGATAGAAGCATCAATGATGAGAGTCACTGATGGGCTGGCCTCCTTCCTGCACACCCCCACTAGGGACCGAGCCCAAAACCCCAGGCATATGCCCTGACCAGGAATCGATTCTGGTTCATGGGTCAGGCCTCAACTACTGAGCCATGACAGACGGGCTCCAACGTAGTTTTGAAGGAGAAAAGCAGCATCTGCCAATTCTGCCAAATGCCGAGGCAGGATTTTTGTTGTTATTGATAATCCTCACCCAAGGATATTTTTTCATAGCTTTTTAGAGAGTGGAAGGGGGGAGGGGGAGAGAGAGGGAGAGGGAGAGAGGAGAGGGAGAAGGGAAGACAGAGGGAGGGGGCATTGATGTGAGACAGACACATGGATTGGTTGCCTCCAGCATGCCCCCGACGAGGGCCAGGGAATCAAACCTTTAACCTAGGTACGTGACCTTGACTGGGAATGGAACCCATGACCCTCTGGTGCGCAGGCTGACGCTCTAACACTGAGCCACGCTGGCCAGGGTGAGCCTAGACAGGATTTTTTTTTTTAATTTATCTTTATTGTTGAAAGTATTACAGATGTCCCCTTTTTTTCCCATTGACTAACAAGGAAAAAACAGTCGGTCATAAGTGCTCTGCTGATAATTATCATAATGTGATAATGTAACAGGACTGACTACTCTAGACTGGCTGACGAGGGAGTGCTTTTCTTTTGGTCATGTCTGAATGGAGGTCTTAATGTTAAAAGGCTGGCCATCTGAAATTCAGAAGGACAGTCCAGAATGGAAAAGGAACAGCTATTGCAAAAGGCTAAAACAGAATGAGCTTGGCCTACTGAGAGACAGAATAAAGGCTGGTGTGGCTGGGACAGCATAAATCAATGTACTTTAGAAGAGTAAACTTAAGGAGACTAGGGGTTAAGAAATACAAGTTTGATAACAATGATGTATATAAACAGAAGGGTTTATAAGCTGAGTCTCTTTCAATTGATAAAGGATTGTTATTTTAGAGATGAAACTCTTACTATTGATAATTAGAATAATTATCTATGAGAAATTAAATACACAGATTGGTTTTAGATTGCCTGCCTTTAATGACAGCCTCCTCATAGACCAACTGATTAACATTGGGCAAATAATTTAACTGTTTAGTGCCTCAATTTCCTCATCTATAAAATGGGAATAACAATAGTTAACTACTTTATGGTGTACTTAGGAAGATTAAATAAGCTAATACATGTAAAGCAATCAAACAGTATCTGTCACATAGTAAGCACTCAACAAACTGAAGTTAGTAGTATTATCTGAAGTCTCCCACACTATACACGGAAGTGTCTTCACACTTCAGTATTTTAGTTAGATGCTTGGTAAGAGATGGCATCAAAGATTCAGAATGAGCTAGGGAAAGATTATGAAAAACCCACCGAATAGAAGTGAGGCTAAGAGTTTTGCAGACTGTTAAGACCATCCTCTTTAAAAGCTATATGTTTCTGAGTCATTCCTAAATCTGTGTCTACAGCCCTGACCCAACCCTGGAGCTCTAGACCCAGCTGCCTACTAGACACCTGCCTTAGTAATTTAATAAGCATTTTATTGGAATAAAAAGGGGAAAATCATTGTTCTTTTCAGTTAGTGAATGATCAAGTGACAACTTCCAACTCCAGAAACACTCAACTCTGCTCCTTAAGTCACGAAATCCATTCATTGAATGACATTCTCTCAGTTTTCAGCTTTACACTGAGAGGGTCAAGCACAAGAAATCTCAGGCAGATATCTGCTCACTTTATCATTGTTTTGCAATCATGATTCTACTGCAAGTATTGTTTACTATAAATTAGTTCAAATAATTTCTTAAGGTAGGCAGGGAGTAAGAAAATAAATGAAATAAAATATTAAATGCCATTAGATGACTCCTAGGCTCTGCTGTCTGATGCAGACTGCAGTGCACAGTCCTCAACAGAAGCAACTCTCAGCTGTCTTATCCTGGGTCATGACTCCAATCACCACCAATGATGTCACCAATAGGGTGATCAGACATCCCAGGTGGACCAGGGCAGTCCCAGCAAAACTCTAATAGCACGGCCTTCCACTCTCTAAAGTGTCTAGATTGGATGAGCGATTATATGTCTACTTATGTATATGATCACCAAGAGCTCTGCAGCATATTGCATGCATGCATTCATTCATTCATTGAGCTAGTATCTACCAAACACCAAGTGCCAGGCCCATTGTTGGGCTCCTGTACAATGCAGGATTCTAATACAAAGATGAGAGATCTTGAAGAGCCATATGATGTATGCAAAAAAGGTCACAGTTTAGATCAAGAGCTTCAGTAAGTCTCTTAATTACATCCCACACCTAAGAAGGCAGGAGAACAGCAAAAACATTGTACATTTCCTTAAACGTACAATAAACAGATAACTGGATACATTAGACAGGTGTTACACACAGTGTAAAAACCAAATATTTGTTGAATAAATGACTAAAATGCTCCATTTTATTGTCACCATAGGTGTGAACTGGGAACAAGTGATAAGGAAAGATATTTATTTTTATAAGCAAGTAGCATAATACACAACAGGAATAAAAGCATCATTACAACTATCTGTCCTTTTTCTGACTTAAGGCACTATTTCTCCTTTGACCTTCAAAACAAAACATAATTTATACATTTTAGGCTGATCTTTCCCTATTAATGTAGGAAGAATCAGGAAATCTAAATTGGTTCAGCTGTGATTTCTTCTGAATTAGAAATACTACATAGATTAGTTAGGCAAGTTACCAGTAAATAATCACTCAAGTAGATATCACGGAAGCTTATATGCTCGCTTTACTTAAAAGCAGTTAACAAAGCAAAAGCCTCTGACAAATTTAATGTTAGTGATTTTCAAAGCTTAGTCTTACAGTTATAAGGAATCTAAAAGTAAGGTGATCCTGGAGACTCCAACATATTATCCTGATGGGGATTCTGGCAATTTAGATGAAGGAGGCTGCAACACTTTAAAGTTCTACTAGATTCAATGTTTAGAACTGCTGATGGATAAAACTCCTAAAAAGATAATCCCTAAGGACTCCTCATTTTAGAGATCATGACACTGAGGCCCAAAGAAGCCATGTAGTAACAGTGGTAATATTGTGACTTAAAAAGTTAGGCACACTTGACTAATCTCTTCCCAGACCTTTTCCTTGCTGTGTGTTCCTAAGAACATTACTTTTCTGTTTTTCATCTATAAAAATGACACTTTTTAAAGATGTTATAAAAATGAAATAAATTCCTATTTATGAAAACATCTAGCACATAACTGATGCTCAATACAAGTTGATTTCTCTCCTTCCCAAGGGTAACTAACTTTAGAGACACATTGCTGGTGAGGGGAAAAAGGCAGGACTAGAGTCAATAATTAGGATCCCCTTCACCACTAGAAAAGATTTCAGTTATTTCTTAAATGGTCTCTATCCTTGAATCATACCATAAAATATAGCTTTTAACACCTGAGTTAAGGATTATTAAAGTAAATATGGGACACAGCAGCCTACAAAGAAATATATTTGTGCCCTGAAACACAGAGATGCATTTGCTAGAAACAAAGTTGCAAAAGAATCAGGAAGTTTAATCAAGGAAGTATTACACTGGCTACTTTTTTAAAAATGACATCTGCTCAATATCATATATGTATCCCATTCATTTAGGATCATTTCTATTGGTAAAGTATTCTATATTAATCATAATATAATTAACGGAGAGAAATCTTTTATTAAATAAAATCTGTATTAAAACAAAAATGACATCTGCTGAGTTTGCATCTGAAAGCTGCCCTTGTGGAAACATGCTTTAGTAGAATTTTGTTGTTTTTAACAGATACTTTACAACTAACATTTCAACATTAATGTTTGCAGCAAATATGTACCAAGTGTCGATTTTTATGTCTGTATAGTCCCCAAGGGCCCCGGGGACTATACAGACATAAATTAGACTTTGGCTTTGTCCTAAAAAAAAAAAAAAAAATCTCAGAAGCTAGTAGAGAACAGGCCGACTTTGAAGAAAGATAAAGAACATAATTATTAAACCTTACAGAACTTGAAAAGTTGAAGACCAGACCTATGGTGAGGAGTTACTTAATGCTATCTACTCTAGGATAAAACGTCCATGGCGCTGGAGGGGGTACACATAGCATAGTAAACACTTTGAATTCTGTGAACTGAATTCTAGTCTTGATTCTGACGCCAACAAGTTACCTGCTCTTGGCAAGTTA